GTGTGTGTGTGTGTGTGTGTGTGTGTGTGTGAGACGTTTCACTAAAGCATCAGTACTGTTGCTATAGCTACCTGCAGGCATTACCATGTTTACCTGCCAGCCAATCAGGGAGCAGTCATCTTGTGATTGACAGTGTTCTAACCCTGTCTGTGTCTCTGTGTCTCAGGTGAATCTCAGGGCGTGGTCAACTTCGTCCTCTCTAAAGAAGGTGGCTCTCTGTCTCTGGTTGAGCAGGCGAACATCTGGCTCTTCCTCCGTTTGGCTAAGACAAACCGCAGCAGAGCCAAAGTCACCATCCGCCTCTTCCAGCAGCGCCGGCTCACCAACCGACAACCAACTCTGCCGCAGGACGATATCCTGCTAGCAGACAAGACTGTGGACACCCGTCGCAGCGGCTGGCACACCTTCCCCGTGTCTGCGGCAGTGCAGGCACTGCTGGAGAGCACAGAGAGCACGACGCTGAGCCTGAGGGTATCCTGTCCGCTATGTGCTGATGCAGGGGCCACAGTTATTCTGGTTTCTGGCGGTTCAGAGACATCGCAGCGCACCAACCAGCGGGAACAATCCCACCGGCCCTTCCTGATGGCCGTGGTCCGACAGGCTGATGGCAGCGACTCACGGCGACGCAGGAAGCGAGGGCTTGAATGTGATGGGAAAGTCCGGGTGTGTTGCAAAAGGCAGTTCTATGTCAACTTCAAAGACATCGGCTGGAACGACTGGATAATCGCACCCCCCGGTTACCATGCCAACTACTGCGAGGGCGAGTGTCCCTCTCACGTGGCGAGCATCACTGGGTCTACACTGTCCTTCCACTCCACTGTCATTAGCCACTACCGCATGAGGGGCCACAGCCCCTTCCAGAACCTGAGGTCGTGCTGCGTGCCCACTCGGCTACGAGCCATGTCCATGCTCTACTACAACGAGGAGCAGAAGATCATCAAGAAGGACATCCAGAACATGATCGTGGAGGAGTGCGGCTGCTCATAAACTAGAACCTGACCTGGACCAGAGACAGGACCTCTGACCCCGGAGAGAGACAGAGAGACAAGGACGAGACGGAGGAATGAGAAAAAAATGTGACTTCATGATCTGCGTGTCTCTCATCTACTGTGTTTCAGGCTTCACCTCCTCCCTCCGTCCCTCCTGGACGCTCTCTGGGATAAAAACTCTCTGGACTCGAGTCTTCATGGCACTTTCAGAAAAAAAGAAAAGAAAAAGGTAGAAAAAAAGAATATCTAATATATTTTTGTTACAAATGGACGGAGCAAGGCTTATTTATGTGGCTGAAATATTCAAGCACCACTCGACCGTCCGACCTTGGAGATGAAGTGCATGAAAAACTACAGACAAAAATCTCAAAACTATGCAACTTGTTTCATGTTTTTCTGATTTTATTGTATTTCACTTTGACTGGTTTTTGTTTCCCGACTGTTTACGTTTTGAAAATCTAGAAGAAAGAAGAAAACTCTTTTGTGTTCTTTTTTTAGAAGTATAAATGTGTGTGTGTGTGTGTGTGCGTGTGTGTGTGCTATTGTCCAGTCAAGTGTGAAAGTGTGTTTGTTTGTGCGTTGAAAGATACTTGAAAGAAACAAGTTGGCCCGGCTGCTGGAACCAAACATTTCTTTATGTTACCATGGGTACCATGTTGATGTTATAATTATTATTGTCAGTAAGTATATAAATAACATTATTGTTATGAATAATAATATTTGGTTTGTTATGTCTGTTTTTGTTTTGAAGAAACGTTCAGAACGTTTCCGTGTTTTGCACTAGAGCGACACTCGTGTTCAGATTAGCGTCAGACTGAAAAGATGGTCAGAGGACAGGCAGAGCGCAGCCGCTAGTTTACACGTGTCAAAGTTTACAGGTTCGATCCCCTCAAGAAGCAAGGCAGTGCTGATCGCTCGCTGTGTCACTCTGTCGGTTTCTGAGCATTTCCAAGTTGTAGATTGCTCCTGGAGAAAATCTGTCAATGTAAATTCACTTCTGAAGAACTGATGAGATAAACCACATGATTTGGATTTTTTATGAATATTTCTACTAGTTACCTTGTAATTTACACTATATTACACTAATTGATATGTAAATGTAATATTTCCAATAACTAAGATCAAATGTTTGTGTTACAAAATTCTCAAACTGCCTGTATCCATCACCTCAAAGTGTCACATTATTTAGATATTCAGTTTAATGTGTCCACAGGGTTACACACGACTCCCCGTGTGTAAATTGTCATTATGGTGACAAGATCACTAACAAAACCTTCTACAGAAAATGTTAAATATTAAGAGCTAAACATTGTATTTAAAAAAGGCAACCAGTGGCCATTAGAAAAACTGCATTTGTGTGGAAGCTTCTGATAAATAAATATAAATACATAACATACATATCAACAGCTCACCTGATGGTGAAATGTAGCGACACTAACCTGTCAGTTAGCACTGAATGCTATCTCGTCTGTATGGAGCTACATATTTAATATGTGAACTTGTAGAACATGACATTAATCTGCTGAACGAGCGTTAATAACCTTTTAGTAACTGTGTGTCTCGAGATCACGATCCATCAGGAACTTCAGTACAGATTGTTGTGAAACCCAACTTTATTTCATCATTATGTGAAGATTCACAGTTTGAAGGATTTTACAGACTTGATTAAAGAACGTGTAAAGCAAAGTCAGCCATGTGTCCATGTCCGTGCTATACATACAGGAAGTGGTTATCGAGAGCGTGACAACAATGGGAACTTGTAGCACTGAATATCCCCATAGGTTTTGTTTTTGGTGCTGCCTTCAGGTTCTCTCGAAAAACCAAAACATTACCCAAAGTACAACCAAGCTTAAGTCTCCCGGTGAACACAGTTTGAGGCTGTTGAACTGTTTATTGTTTTTTTACATATCTTAAAGTCAGTGTGTTTAATTGCAGTGTCGTCCGTTCACAGTTTCCTTATGTCCTGACGTACTGGAACTCTTCCGTGCTGCCGTGCAGGCTTCAAAACGTTTGGTGGCACTAGTTAGTCTAGATCTGCGAAGAAGAAAGTAATGCTTTTGGAGAAATCCCCATAAACAAGTGATAAATATATATTTCTACGTTATAGTAGACACTGGAATAGTCTGTGCTCAGCAGGGTGCGCTCCTTTGCCAGTGTAGAACAGGTGGGGGGGCCATCATGACGCTGACTGTCAGTCAAGCCTAATGAGAACTAGAGAACTTGACTCTTCTGTGGCTGCCTGGTAAAGCCCAGTGAGATTTTCAACCCGACTTATATACTTGGCGATTTTCTTTTACGCATTCAAATTTACCAGGCTGGTTGATAACACGTTGCTCTGTGGTGTGACGAACTCAGAAAAGTTCTTCTTGATTGCTTTACACGGTCTTTGATTTGAGTTAAATTAGTTAAACCACCTTCATTTAAGATTGACCTTAATTTAATTCTTATTTCGCTTATTTCAGAGTTTTTTAAAGAAACAGAAGAAACTCAGTTATATGAGTCAATCAACATCCAGATGAACTAATCACTTTGTCTATTAAATGTCAGAATTATTTATAAAAACCAAACAGTCAATCGCAAAATGATTCACTTTTAATATTATGACTTAAACAGCAAAGTAACATGATAGAATGAAGGAATCATTTAAAGCCCAGTGAGAATTAACCATGAATAACATTTCAATCAGCAGTGCGTTTTGTTTCCTCCTTTCCTTGGAGATAATGTTTGAATGTGTTCTTTTATTAGATCAAATCTTTTGGTTTGATGTGATGAGCAGCATAAGGTTGATTTTAAATCATTTTATATCTGAGACGAAAAGAGATGGTTTTTGTTTCGGAGAAAATGTCGAGTTTTAGTTTATTTTAGACACCAAAGAGTTGACAAATGTTTGGACTTCAACTTACATTCAAACTAAAAAAATCTGTTTAATTTCACTGAAATGTGTAAAAATGTGGCGTGAATTTCAGATTGTATTGATGGTTTATAGTTTTTACTTGTTTTGAAACAAACTTCTTGGTCTTGTTTTTACTTCTGATGTCTTTATCACCCTGCACACTGAGAACTTAACTTCCCACAATGCTTTAATTACAAAGTGAAAAAAACATTCCACCGTCGTCTCTGTTTCGGAAAGTAAACGAACATTGAGTGTGTTTTGTGTCGTATGTGTTAATATCAGTGTTATCGACTTCACCAAAAGTTTGTAAGTACTGGTCCCATTTTGATGAAGTCACACATGTTATGTCTTCTTATGATTTGTATGTTTTCTGTTGGACGTGTTGTCAGAAAGAGGACACTCTTCCTCTGAACTTTCTGGGACAAACTCATCGTCCTACCCTTGCGAACGTGGACGCACACAAACTTTCAGTGCAGAAAAAAAGGACTAGAAAACTAAGAAAACGTTTTAAAAAAATGAACAAATAATTTAAAAAAAAAGGTATAAAAAGTGGTTGTATTTGTTTGGAGTTTGTTCCTTTTATCAAGATGACAAAATACTGACACTGAACGAAGTGGACAAAGAATAAAAAGTCTATTTTTTATTCTGTATAAGGAAATCAAGAGTCCAGTATGTTGCATTGCTTTGTTGTACAAATCAAATGTGCTTGTGGCATTTTTCTAATCTAATTTATTTTACAGTATTATTTTGTTTTCTGCTTCACCATTAAAGTTTAAAGGATGTACACGATGAAAACTTGTCACTGGTCATTTCTGGAAAACACGACACTCGTTTCTATCAGAAGAAGAGCTCTTTCCAGCTGTTACAGGTACAGTACTGATTATTCATATTCTGAATTTGAATTCCAATTATTAAAAGATATTGAAACATTTTTGACAAAGAGTCGATTTTCAGATTGACAATTCTTCATTTAAGAAAGGTCACATGGTCGGCACATTCCATCCTGTTGAAAAGCTTCACCTGGTCACATTGACGATATGAAGCGGCCTCGTTCGACACACATTGAAATAATGTGATCGCACAAAGTGGATGAATATTGAGGGTGGAGGCGGCGGCTCCTCTCACCAGCGAGGAGGAGAAACAGCAGGAACTCATTTCCTCACAGCGAGAAAAAAATGCAGGTTCTATTAAAGCTGCGATAGACGAGGCGAAGGGTCGGAGAGGTCGACTGACGCTCAGCTGTTTCTCTGTCTGTTATTTGGTTATTTAGTCTGTGCGCAGTTCTTCAACACATGGAGACGATACAAGGGACATTTTTAAAAGAATAATCTGATTCACCTCAGACTTTAAGTCCTTTTAACGACCTTTTCAAAAAAGAATGTGAACGACTGAGATACAGTGAAATAGTGCTTGGTGGTGTGACCACAAACCAGATATAAACTTTTTATCAGGGTATTTTTCTAAATTACAGGCAAAGCCTATACATCAGCAAGTTTATGTTAAGTTTAATTTACATTTGCTCACTTGTGATAAAGAATCAAAGATGCTGAAAAGGTTTGTCTCCTGTTAGGAGACCCCGGTGGCATCGTCCACTGCCACAGTGGTTAATGGTAAACCCACCACAGGGCTACATTATTAAGAGTTCTACAGTTTTATACTTTCTTCTTCTTTCAGTGCCGTGGACGTGTGATCAGAGGGAGAGAACTATGACTCCCAGGGTGCAATTCACCAAAACAAGAAGCTGCAAATGGACATGAAGTGTCCTAATCTCCAGAGGATGAACTCTGTCGATGCTGAACATCTGATCAATTTATGACCTGTAACTAATAAAACTACTTCCTGCCTGCGTGTGTATGTTAATGTCTGGCGGACAGTAAAATGACTTGCAGATGACATCGTCCTGCCTCTGCAGTGACACATCAGAAGAGCAGGGATTTCTGGCTCTTCTATCTTTGTGAGGACAGATGTGTTTAACCTACACTGTGAGGACATTTTGACCACACCTCTGTCCTTCTACCGCTAGGCAGCTGGGACATGGGTCCGCATAAAGGCGTATGGTCGTCATGGTTACAGGCTGAAGATGACTGTGAACTTGTCGTGGGTCCTGGTCCTCACAACTGTCGCACGACAGAGCTGTGAGCGTATGTGCAGATCAAAAGGCCCAGCAGACCACAGCAGGGTGTTTCCCTGCCAGCAGGGCGGCCGCTGTGGTCAACCTCTGTTTGATGCTCGACTGTTTCAGGAGGTGACGTGTTTTTGGAGAAGACGGCGTCAGTCTGAGACTTTTATGTCACAGTCAGATAATAAACTTGCCATTTAAAATTAAAATCAATTTGAAAAGATTTGAATGTATCTGAGAGCAGACAACATGAAGTGTAAGTCCTGATACTGCTGCAGGTTTTAAACTCTCAAACTCACTTTGTTTTTACACAACATGTTCATTCATTTTATTCATTTTGTATTGATTAATTATGTTTTCATAAAGCATTCAATCAAAGTGTGAAGACACATTTCACTGATCAGGCTCCACAAATAAAAAGTGCACATACACTTGTATACTAATAATTCAGCAGATGAGGTAAAAAGACAGACTCTTCTCACTGCTCACAGATCTCTGGTTTTTATTTTAACCACAGATTAACTTGTTCACTACATGTTACCACTGAAAGCTCACTAATACCTAAGTTACCTTCATATGATTTAAGATTTCTTTGTGCCACCACAGCTTTGAATTTAACCTTCACACTCTTATTGGAAATGTAACTCTGATAACCTACTTTTATGTAAAAACTCAAAACAATGATTCATCATTACAGCTATTGTTAAAAGAAGCAGGATGAAAAGATGTCGTACATTTATTTATTTGTTTGATGAAAACTAATGACAATGAATGTTTCTGAAATGTCCAGATTTACATGAAAGAATATTAGAGATTCTCATAGTGTCTCAGAAACATATATATACCTGTATATTTGAAATGAGCTTGTGTGTCAGATAACAGTATCTTTCTCCTGTTGAAGATTGTGTGTTAATGAGCCTCAGACGATCCTGCAGGGCGACGACAGAAATCAGATCTGGATAATTCAGGTTGTTCTTGATGAATTACCAACATGAATGTTTTGCACAGAAATAAATAATCATGAATGAGTTTCCCAGCTTGAAAAGTTGGATTGACAGGGTTAGTCCTGCTGCATCGTGGGAAACAAACACAAACCAATGTGAGCAGGAGAGACGACTCTGAGATATTCAGGTTTTTATTCTTGATTCCACTTGAGTGTGTTTGTAGAAATCAGGTCAAACTCTAAGTGAGTCCGACTGTTAAAGCTGCTCATGTTTAGTTTTTAAATCTGAATCTGGACCAAGGAGGAAAATCAAGAACCAAAAGAAAAACAGAGAAACTACTCAGTGATTCTGTATGAAAATAAATAGAAGTCTGATTTAGAGTCCACCACCTAAATCACCATCTGTGACCACCAGTTAGAGGTGATTAGCCTAGCTTAGCATAAAGACTGGAAGAAGAGGGACAGACGGTTGTGATTCGTCACCTTGTTTGTTTACATGCAGTGTATTTAAAGGGATGTTCATTAACATGGCCTGTCGCTATCAAATAAATAAACATCGATCAATGAGACAATCAAAGATAGTAAATAAAGTGACGCTGTAGATTTGATATGTTTGTGTTCGAGTGTAACCTCATGGATCCTTCTCACTGCAGACATCACAAAACCACAAACCTGGATTCAAACTCACCTCAAACTTTTCTTTCTGTAGAGACGGACGGGACCAGAAGATCCAACATGGCCCCCACAGAGCCCCACAAAGGTGAACTGCACCTGCTGACCGCATCACTCAGCGATGACTCAGCACCAACACGTCAGCCTGCAGACGAGCAGAAGAACAACAAGTTTATCTTTAGACAGTAAGAGCTTAATGACATAATGAGAGCAGAGCTGATGATACTGGACTGTTTCACCTGAGAAACAAAACTTCATCTACACAGTCACACAAAACAGACACACATGTAAAGTAAAGCTGTGGTTCACACACACACACATCATACAACAAATTCAACACACACACATCATACAACACACACAAACACATCACACTACACACACACACACACATCA